TAAGCTGATCAAACCTTACAATTTAGTCAATTTTTTCTACGGATTTATCACGAAGTGGTAGGATTTCATTCATCAATAACTGTATAAGTTAGAATGTTGACGAAGGTTCTGCAAATTGAGCATGCTAAAGGTTAAATCCAAAGGGGGTCCACAACCTCTCCTATGTTAACATGGATGAGGTGCATATAGAAGTTTTGTTGGGGGAGACTTACATTTCGTATTAAAATGCGAGGAAAAGATTCTAGGTCTATCTGCCGCTACACCTAAGTTGCGAAAACGAGGTCAAACCAACATTATACAGCTAAAGGAGACCACGACAAAATAAAAGGCCACACCATCTTGGTCTTCATATCTTATTGCATGATTATTTTTTGCAGCATTTTTCGTAGCCTCTGTCCGTGCCTTTACAGAGTTTTATGCATTTAAAAGCGGTCGCATGTGCTTACATTCTGCTAATTATAATTGCATGCGTTTGCTCGCAATTAAATGTGGCTACCATAAATCCTTAATGTCAAGAGCGAATATGTGAAGTCAGCCCCAAACTTTTAACCATAGTAGGATAAAATAAATATGTACTATTCCTTGATTTGTTCCTCCGCCTACCAACCCTCCTCGTTATTAGGGTTCAAGTGAAACAGGTGAGTGAGAATAACTTATTTTTAACCAATTAAAAGCAAGAAAGAAGCCTAGTGAATCAAGCTGAACTGGCCAATCACTTAAGACCAAGCTTACTAATCGTCTTCTCCAGTCTATGCTACCGAAAATCTACTTCTGCACTCATTTATATCATCGTTTATCCTCTCAGATAACCTGCTGGACGTTGTTAACTTCTAGTCGTCTTAAAGGGTATATGTGGAAGTCATATAGCTGACGTTGGTAAGGGAATTTCATGTGTTTTTTTATCCACAATACTCTGCACAAACCCTTGACGGATATTTAGCATAGTTGCGCAAATGAAAAGCAATTTAAGATAATTAACTATTCCATCTTGTTATAGCCTTAAGAGTTTTGGCTATTATCTCTTCGACGACCTTCGGTGGCTATATTACGCTCCCTAAGAACAATGGACTACATTTATTTGTGCTAAATTTAACCTAAGTAAAATATATTTTATAATTAGATTATTTCTACATTCCTATTTGATTTTATTCATACTTGGAAGATATTTTAACACTAACTAAATTTTAGTGTGGTAATAGTCTTATTTTTATAAATTTTCTATTATTTATCTATTTATAATTAGACAGTGAGTAATAATTTCAACTCTCAGAAATTTTGCAGTTCAATTATTTATTAATTATTTAAATGTTAGCTTTTTTCATGTTATGCCTTATCTGGTGTAATGTTTACTTTCTGCATATTTCTTGTTTATCCAATACATTTATACACTAATTATTCATTATTTATTCATGATTGGGTTTTTCAGTAGGAAACAAATTGTTATTAAATAAAAAAATGTATTTACTCTAGGTCGCATGAGATGATAAGGAACTAATAGTTGAATTTATACATTATTATATGAGTTGACCTAAATGCCATTGAATCTCACATAGCCTTGCCTCCATAAAAGAATTCTCACCCATAGTGGAATCCTGTTTCAACCACGCCTGGGTCTCATCTGCACCTCAAATGGGAACAGAACTTTGGTAATAGAGAGCATATTTTCTACATTTTACCATTACACTACGGATCAATTTTATTTCCCTTTTGGAGTGCTATTAAGACCTAGGCGAAGTATAATCAATAGTCTACCCTCGTTTTGGGAGGCAACGTTAAATTAGGTTTACTGTCATCATGAAGTTTATTCATATCATTGTTGAAAAATTCGACTACCAGGGCCTCAACACCTTATGCGACCTATGGAGAACTCAGTTCTACTCCAAAAATAATATCGTATAAAATTAATTGGACTAAAATTTTTTTTACATGGAGCATAGACCGTTATACCAAAAGAGGTAACACGGGATATTTCATAGCATACATTATATCCAAAATGTTCTTGCGCTAAAATTAGTACTTAAATGAAAATGGATAACTAATAGATGTATTATTGTCTCCTGATAATTCATTACTAAGAGGCTATTACCCCATCAACACTTAGTGAGTACCAAAATCCTGCAAAGGAAATGAACTATGGTAAAAATCATTAAATTATTTATTTATAGACCATATTTTAATTAAATGCTTTTTAAATATAAAGTTTTCATCAAATTCAGGGTTGTAATTTGAGTTATTGCTCTGAATTTAGACACTACATTCATTATATTTACTGATTATCCATATCCATTTGTGCTTCTCGATTTTTATCAGCTTTAGAACAAACCTCATTATTAATTCTTCTATTAGCGAAAGAGCTCTCCAGAAATCTAAACTCTCATATTATACTAATTCCTATTTTCTTATCCAAATATATCTTAGTTTTAGTTATAAGTAGATATGAATGTACATTTATGTATATATATATATCACTTTTTTATTTCTTGTCTTTAATTCAAAGGATGATTGCCGTAGGTCACATTTCAAACTAGAGATAAATGACACAAGAGGTACAACTGGATAATATATAATTATTGAGCCTGCTTAGTTAGA